ATGTTTTACTTTATACTTGCAACATCAAAAAAAAAAAGTGGAATCTTTGTTTGACACTTGATTAATAAAAACACGGATGAATTATTGTTTAGCAAATATTAAAACAAGGTATTGCAAACGCCATATGGAATGTATCCATAGTATGAGAATATTATATTTTTATATCGTGATAAATAATGTCCACGAATATGGGCCTCTCTAGTCTCTCTCTAGCGTATCGTCAGGATAAAATTCCCCTAGCGGCTCCGCAGTGTTTTCAATCGCAGCAATTACTACGGAATGTGGTAGCCCGGCTGCTTGGAGCCGGACAGAGGGGGTGGGAATAATAAAACGTTAGGCGTGTCGGCGTCTGTTTTTTACGCGTTCGACGCCGAGAATTGTGGTTTCATCGATCGTTCCGGTACCGATCTCACATCGTACCGGTGACGACGATAACCTGTTCCCTACGAATCGCCTCGACCGGATAACGGAATGTCAAGAGTGCACGTGACCGCGACGCCGCGACGCTCCGAGAATGCCTGGATCGTGGACGCGCGGCGATAGCGTACCTTGACGAGATAAAACGGAACATTAGAGCTGACTACGTCGTGCGGCATCGCGATACATGTGTCCGTCGTTCGTCAGCGTGCGAGGGAGGGTATGCTCTTATGGGGTAGCAAGCGGGCGGTAGCCTTTGTCGTGGAATGGAGACGGAGAGCGTAAAGTCCGGGGCTAGCGAGCATAGCCATAGCCACCACAGCAGGAGCTCCCAGAAGCATCATAGATCTCACAGTTCAAAACAGCATCACAGGCAGCATTCTCACCGCACCACTAGGTATATCCCATGATTTTCATCTAATCATCCTAAAGAAGTGGGAGTTTTAATTCTTTGAATGTGGTGTCTTGCGAGATACACAATAGAAATCATAAGAGCTCTTCAGTAGTCGCTATTTTAGTATTGACGGAATAAGCCATTGGTTTTAGTTGCATAATTGTATAACTGAATGAAGGAGGTAAGTACTTCTTTCCAGTTCCACAATACATAATCTAGAAGAGGTTCTTTGGTTCATTCTTACTATTAGGAAACCAAGGAAGTATGATGTTATACAACTAAAACCAATGAATTATTTTAATACTAAAATTGTGATTGTTAAAGATCTCTTATAATTTGTGGTTTTCATTAATCTTCTGTAATCCTCTGTGACAGGAGCAATCGAAGTCAAAGAAAGGAGAGACAGAATTTGGATACTAGTGAAATGGCACCGTTTCAAACAACAGTCAACGTACGAGGAGACAGTGTGGATAACATGGGGCAAGAAGTGATCGAGGTGCAAATATTGCCTCAGGATGAGAATTGGGGAGAGAATACTACAGCCGTCACTGGTAACACCTCGGATAGGTCAGAATCGACTGAGGATGTAAGCCACTGGCCAAACGAAACCGATAGCACGTTTGGTTCCAGCTGCAATCGTTATGTTGGTCCAATCGTGGCAATGATACTCGGGATAAGCGCCTTTCTTAGTCCTATAGCCATGGTCATTTTGCCTAAACTGGGATTCTTTCCCGACTCGACGACGGTACTGACGATGCAACAGAAATTGCATCTACTGTCATGTAACGCCGAGTGCAAAGGTGAACTGCTAGGATTGGCCTTCAAACTGGTGCTACTGGTCATCGGTAGCTGGGCAGTGTTCCTGCGTCCGCGAACCGCTACCATGCCACGCATATTTTTATTCAAGGCAGGAGTGTTGCTACTCACCACCCTGTGCATTTGTACTTATTGGCTTTTTTATGTTGTACAGGTAATCATCCTAGATGTGATTCATGTAATTACATGCGTTTTCTAGCAAACGACAAGTATAATGTTTTTGATCGCAATGAATTTGGATTGATCTGAGATCGATCAACAAAAGCATCATGATTTTATGCAATCAAAAATCAAAATAGAACATGTGATATCATTAATTGACCTCAAATTGATTCAAATCCACTATGGACAAAAATACCAATAGATGATACTTTGTAACAGTGAATTATTTTATAAATAAAAATAAACAATCCATACAAGACCAATAAGAGTCACAGGCTAATGAAAGTGCCAACGATTAAATTCTGTACTATTAATCGATTGTGTGGAATTTTCTTTATTTTGAACGTTTCGGACTCTCTTCGGAGGCCTCTTCAGAAATACATATATCAAATCAGCCTGTGATGGATCTTATTGGCCTTGTATGGATTGTTTATTTTTATTTTTAAGATTTTGAGTCTGTAAAATTTGAATAATTTTATTCTTTTAACATTGTCAAACAGGAATTATATCTCGAAACGAGGTGAAAATTACAAAATTGAACAAATTTACTAGAATATTTATAATTTTATTGGCCAACACTTAAATTCGTTCACTTTGATAATTTTGACCTCGTTTCAAGATATAGAATCAGAGTAATGATTCACTATATTACACTATGTTAGTTGTATCTTTTGCTAGAAAACACTATCTTTGTAAATATATATATATATATGTTATTACTAAAGTATTTGATATTTTTCAGGTCACCGAGAGTGCTAAGACTGTTGCCAATGGCGAAATAACAGAGTACAAAAGTTTAGTAAATTATGCAGGTACCCTTGCTAATACACTCCTGTTTATACATTACACCGCAGTGCTCCTTATCGAAGTTCGTCATTTACAACCTACGTTTTATCTTAAGGTGCTCAATGTTCTTTATATTGTTACTCAATAATATCTAATTACAATATGCATTTTGAATTATATACATTGTTTTCATTCACAGGTCGTTAGATCGCCGGATGGTGAATCGAGATCTTATGCAATTGGCCAGTTATCGATACAAAGAGCAGCCGTATGGGTTCTAGAAAAATACTATACAGAGTTTCCAATTTACAATCCATATTTGGAAAGGTTGCCGGTCTCGAAGTCTGGTAGAAAGCAATCAAGTTTCAAGTTTTACGAAGTTGACGGTGGAGTGACCGGTGGTATGCAATCGCGCGCCGGAAGCGGGGATCGGGCAGTCCTGACAGCACAAGCGCGTCGTCGTGATTCGAGTCACAATGAGCGCTTCTACGAGGAGCATGATTACGAACGACGAGTGCGGAAACGTCGTGCAAGGCTCATTACTGCCGCCGAAGAGGCGTTTGCGCATATCAAACGTTTGCATTCCGAGGTAGAATCCACACCAAATCCTGGACCGATGGACCCTATGGAAGCTGCACAAGCGGTGTTTCCTTCTATGGCAAGAGCTTTACAGAAATATTTAAGAATCACCCGGCAACAGCCGCGTCATTCCGTAGAATCTATTTTGAACCGTCTCGCCCGATGTTTGGCTCAAGATGCGGCGCCGCGCGCCTTCCTAGAACCATTCTTTGCTGCGAGTCCGGTGCTATCAAACGAGAAAGAAAGACAAAAACGATCGCATCACTGGGCCTTGGTATGCGAAGGAGAGCTACCCTCTCGCCCGATCGCTAACGGTTGTGAGTTTCAGTTGAGACAGGGCGAAGTGGCACTCTTGTGTACAGCACATAGATTACCGCATTTTAATCTCACCGAACAATTAGCACATCCTAAATCAAACAAATTTCTTTTGCGTTTGAACTCGGAAACCTCAGTTTAAGATACTCGATAAAGTTTATCATCTGATATTTTCAAAATTAAATAAAATTATTCTAAATAAATGTTTGAAAAGATTTTTGGCACAAATAATGTTTTAATCGAGATAATGTTTAATATAAAATCTTTTCTGTGACGAGAGAGAGCATTGTTGAAGATTGTTTTGTGCTAAAGACATGATAAATATTAGATTTTATCTTGCGCGGAAAACATTTTTAAATATTACTTCGATTAAATCTTATTTACGCTAAAATTCTTTTAGACCGAAATGTTTACAAGATTAAATCTTGTTAGAATATTATTTAAAACTTCTGTTTATTGAAATGTGGACTGTTGAACAACAATATAATAGTACTTAGATATTCTAATACAATAGAGAGACTGAGAGAAGATAGTTAGGAGAATTCGTCATCATTTTCTTAACAACATTTATGACATCATTTCTTTTTTCCGAAAAAAATAACTACATGACATTAATAAGTGATCCATACTTCTGAACATACCTTCAAGTAATTATTACGTATAAAGTAATTAGTTTTTACTATAACAAAATACTCAGTTCTTTGTTTATTTTTAAGTTACGTGCATGCGCGTATACATATTTATTTATTCCATTATGCATATCATGAATTTTATATATATATATATATCTTAAATATATTTTAATGGATTTTAATGTGTATATATACACACACTTATATATTTTAAAGCGAAATATAGATAGGTTAATTTTAGAACAGTAGTTTGCCTGATGATCAATTATAGATATCGGATTTATTCAGACTTATATAATTTCACTTTTACATAATTCTGAATAAGTATATGTATTAAAATTTTTTCTCAAAAATTATTTAAGTATTAGTATATTATGATTTAAGAGAAATTAAAATATAAATCAAGTAAACAATATTTATTCTATTTTAGAACAAGAACAAATAGAATATTTCTTGTATCTGTTACACTACAAGTATTTCTGGCATAGTTTACAAGGATAAATCCAAACGAATCCGGTATCTGAATACGAAGGTTAGAATACGAATAATTAAATATATTCGTATTTTGATATTTACATTAATTAATACGCATTCCTAAGTTCGTAAACCATATTTGTAGTATCATACTTACATGACGAAGATATGTTTTAAATATATAAAATTTATACGTATGTGTTCATACGCATACGCGCACATATAGCAGCACACACGATTTATATATTTCATTATTAAGGGAAAAATATAACACTCGTATATCAGTATCTTGTGTTCTGCAATGTAACGGTACGCACAGTAAATATACTCTATATTTATAGTCCTAAGTTTTATACTTTAACGTTTTTTTATATTATTATTTTACTTTGATGTAATATTTAAGTACACACGAATGATGAATGGAGATTATTATATGATAGAAAATTTTAATACGATCCTCTGTTAAGTTTGTTTTGATTTTCATTATATTAAACATTTCTGAGTTGTGATTAGATAAGAATTATATACTTCATTGATAACTTATACATCTTGTATGCATCTAAATTATTTTTTGTTTACTCTTAAATGTTTGCTAATAATAATGATAATATAGAAAAGCATTATAAATGCTTTACAAATAAAATTTACAGATAATTTTGTACACTAGTCAACTTTTCTTTGTCGGATTGTTTAATTACAATTTTCTGTCTTCCTACATAATCTACAGTCATCGTAATGATTATTCAATACAAACATTTATGAGTAAACTGTAAAAGTAATTTGAGACGCGTGAATGATTAAATACGTGAATTGTACGTATAGGCGTAATAATATAATTTAATAATTAATCTCATTAATTACATATCTCTTGGCGCATTTCTAGACGGATCTAAGCGCATTCTTCTGTTTTATTTGATAAGAAAATTGCATATTCTATAATATGTATATAGCAAACGAAAATTCTACGATTGGATTATATGTACATATTCGTACAAATCTTTTATCATTGGATAACCTGATCGATGAAAGGTTGAATTGCAAGCTTGATAAGAGAAGATTTTTATATTAAAGTAATTAATATTGTTGAATTTCTTTATCGCATTCCGAAATTATATATCCTCATTGTAATGAGATTGATAAAAAATGTAAAAACATATGTTTCTTATGAGAATATGAGCTTTCCAAGAAAGCGTACAGTTTAATAAGCACACGTGGTCTTTATGCTTGTATAATGTTTTCACCGATATCGTACGCTTCGCAATATTTGTAAATTATATAAAATTAAATTAAACGGAAAAAATCCGGAATTTTTTAGGCTGCGCTAGTTTGAAGTCTTGACTTAAAATATATCAGAATAAGAGCAAGGAAACCGAGAGTAGTTTGTTTAACATGAAATTATTATGAGTACTCGCATGTATTTTTTCCACCAAGTTTTTGCTATAGATGTTTTTTTTTATTTATGTGTGCTCGTGATGACTGTGTACTATTTAAAAGATAAAATATACATTTGATGTATAAAGTAAAGTCTTTTCCTCTTTTAGGAAAACTTCCTTGAAATAAAAATTTTATTTGAAAAGATTGTTACATACCTTTAGTATTAAATATTAAGTATTATACAATAAGGTATGTAAAATAAAAACATTTATATAAAAAACAAAATTTGTGTATTAAATATGAAGTTTAATTATTGATGAATATATTCTATTGAAAAATTATTATAAGGAATTAACATGTTTAAAAATATGATAAAATCTTAGAAAAATAATTTTAAAGTGGAATTTGAGGATTACGAAAATTTTAAATTATCTAAAAAAATAAGGAAAATAAAGAGAATATAATAATAATACAATAACAATAATAATAATAATAATAAAAGATTATAATAAAGAAAAAAATATAAAAGAAATTGAAATGATATATAACTGAAATAAATATGCGTTTAAATAAAATTTTATTTTGGGAAAAACCCAAAATGTTTGATTTTAATTTCTTAAAAAGTTTTTTTTAGGGCTTTTTTTCGATAGCTGCATTGTATTCTTACGTACAGACTTCAAATAACAACTGTTTGAGACAAATCAAGAATTATACACTATGCAAGATTGTGTGAACGAAGGTACATGTTTAAATCGTCATCTTATTATTTTAATCGTCTTTCAATATGTCATTACATTTTGTACAGTACATCATATGCAGTTAGTTCGCTATCAATTATGAGCTAGAGAAAATTAAAGGTACAATATTATTGTTTAATTCTTATTTATTGTAGCTTTGATGGTGTTGCTCAAAATCAAATTATTTTAATTATTATGGTTAGATTCCTATTTGCTGCAATTTTTATAAATTTGCAATTATTTCGTTATTGTCTATAGAAATCGTATGTTTTTTTGAAAAAAACGAAGAAGTCATATAACATATATATAGATATGTATATATATATATATATATACTGTATAATGTAAAATTGTGCTATAAAAAACAAATTGATTAAAATGAATACTTTTAAATTAAGGTCGGAGACATTTAAACTTATAATTAATTAAATTTATAATAAAATTTAACAATTAAATTGGTAATGAAATGAAAGTATTCAATTTTTAATTAAAAAATATTAATTTTCATATTTGTACGTTTTATTTCAGAATGCAACGATAAATTTTCAAATTCTCTTTTTTAAATTTCTGTTTTGTTTTTTCTAAACTTATTTTTTGACTTATCGATTTTTACTCGTCATACTAGAAATAACTTTAATAACAATGATATCTTAATAACAGCAATTTGCAACGTTTTACTTTAACAGAAGTACAATAGGATCTATTCTAAACAATTCAATATACATACAAACGTTAATGAATTATATTACTTTTGTTTTTATTTTAAAATCAGCTGATATTAAATTTCGAAGACCGTAGAGACGTTGACAAAATTTACAATCAAACTCGAATCCGACCCAGGTAGCAAACTGCGTCATTTGGACGTCAAATGACGTTATTTTGACGTCAGCTTGCTACCAGGGGAAGAGATTGATAAAATTTGAGATTGATATGATTCAAGAGAAATGATAATTCATGCTAAATGATTTCTTTCCATGATTTGAGGATTTTCCTTTTCCTCACGCAGTTGTGTGATCGCAGATATGGACCTCCTGAAAATAACAGGAAATTACGAAATGAAAGAAAAAGTAAGATCACAAATTTTAGTAATATACCCTCAATAATACAATCAATCACAAGGAGCAATGCTCGTCAATCGCGGAAACAAAACCGTATATATAGGGCGCAGGTGGAATCAAACTCGGATCCGAAATTTCGAGTCGATCAACTTCGTGATATAGCCATTCTGCGCCCTACGATTTTATAAATCGTAGTAAATAATTCTCGCAATCACGGTACGTTCTTTACTTCCCGCACTCTTATTGCTCCAAGTAATCAGCACGAGGTGCAAAATGAAAAGCAAATTCGATTTGAACGTTTTTTAAATAATTACTAATCCTATAGTAAAAAATATTTAAAATGTTATAAGAGAAATGTATCTTGTATATATTTCCTTTTAGTCGATAATGTTTATCATCAATGAGCGGAAGGAGAAAGAGGAAGAGGAATAATTTTGTGCAACTAAAAAGCCTTACAACAAGTCGGTCGGTCGAATAGTTTTTGAGTAATCTTGCACGCTAATTTTGGAAAAGTGGTTTTGAGAAAAACGCGTTTAAAGTTTTCGGTATTGAAAAGTAGTAACTTATAGTAGTAACTTATTAATCTGCTATTCCAGGCCCATAAGTACAGCAATCTTTTACTTCTTCATAAAATTGTTTTGTCACATTATACAATAGTTGTAATTTATACGAAAAAAATTATTACATAAATGGTGGTAAATAAATTGTAGTATTTATTATAAATATACAACAAAAAGTAATAAATAATTAAAAAGCACTAATCTAAAGAAGAAATAGGATTAAATTACAATAAATCTTTAAAGATTTTGTTTGAATGTTTTATTTCTTTGCAATTATATTATACATTAGACAGTAAAGAATAGAAGATTAGAAATTAAGTTACATTAATATTAACTGTTGCCGTAATACATACGAAAATTTTCTGCAAAAGTGTTTTCTTTTATTTAATATTTAGCTTACTTTACTTACGTTTTTTAATTCTGATCTTTAAAGGTTCAACAGTAGATAATGTTATGTCCGTTTTTAATTTTATATTACGTATCTGAATACTTTTATCTACTTTGAAAACAAATGTTCGTATTAAAGTAGCTAGAATAACTTTTATAGAAATCATTGCGTATTTTATACCTGCAAGTTAATTATGTTTTTTTTTAAGATTGAAAAAATTACTTAAAAGAAATAATTCGTTATTATTATTGATTACTTATTGTAAAAGTAAACATTATTTTTATTTAAAAACCGAGTTGTTACAATTTCGATTACTTTCTTACTAAATTAATCTTTTTTTTTAAAGTAAAGCATTCAATTGTCTAATCAATTAGTTCAACATGAAATATAAGGAAGACCGGGGCATCATAAATTACAAAAATTCAAACTCTTAAAAGTACATCAAATATAAAAATTTTTGAATCATTTTTTTTTAAATAATTAAAGCATAGTGTATATTTAAAAATTTTATAAGTATATTTAGTAAATATTTATAAGTTTTTAAGAAAAAAAAAAAAATATTTTTTTAAGAAATGACCTATGGTGCCTCATACTCGGGGTACCTTAAGTCACACACAAAATAATAAGATTATGCAAGAAATAATGGTGACAAAGGTTGAAAAGTATTTTCAATTGACTTACACATTCTTAACATAGTCACTAATACAATAAAATATAATTACAATTAATAATTATTAAATAATACAATAGAAAATTATAAAACAAATGAGAAATAACTATTAAAATAAGACACAAAATTTATTATGATAAAATAAAATTAATTGCTTAGAAGTATAAGCTGCCCTTTTAGTACATATACTTTCTGTATTGTCCCGTTTCATCATGAATATTTAATGTCCCAAATATTTAATGGCATCCCAATTATGCATTTAATTATATATTTAATAGAAAACGATAAAAAATAAACATTAAATTATTATTTGTAACATAGTAAGATGAGAAAAAATGCGCAAAAACTTGCACCTTATTTTCATACATGTATCTTATTCTACTACAAAACAATATTAAAACATTTTTATGCGGTTAGAAAGGTTACTATTGCATCACAAAAATCATGATCGATGCTTTTCGATACAATGGAATTTAATAATTGCCACTTAAATAAAAAGTATGAGCAACAAAGTAATAGTCGTATTGTACCAGTAGTATTAATTTAAACATTCTAGATTATGTTAAATAATCGATGATGGTACCTTGTGGCCCATGATGCCCCGGTTTTCCCTATAATAATTATCGTTAATCATAACACACACTGGTCAAACATACTCTCTTCTTTAAAACTTGCTTATGCATGTTTCATACACACGTAATATATGCACACGTAATATACGTGCACAACGATAAAAGTAACAATTATATTCGTCACCGTCACAAAAAATTTAATTGTATTATTATTATATTATATATTATCATATTATAGTTTGTGTATATATACATATATATAATATTTTATACATATATATATACATATATATATATATATAATATTTTATATATTATATGTATATATTATCGTATTATTAATACAAATATTACGTCGTTATCAATTTGTTATTAAGAAATAATTGTAACGATAATAATGTTACATAACACGTTACTGCGCAACACTGACTATAGGTATAAATTAATTTTACAATATAATTGTATTTAGTCATGCCTACCTATACAATTCCTTGGTCCATCACTAAAAGGGATGTGATAATTTGAAGGACAATCCTTTATTCTTTTTGGCAAAAACCTATCTGGATCAAATTTCAATGGATTTGGCCAGTATTGTTCTTGTCGGTTCATCAATATAAGTCCTATTATAATACTAGTATTTTTTGGTAAAATAAAATTTCCTAAAATATATTTAAACATTAATATGAAATAGAAATATATTAATAATAAGTAATACAATTTTCCTTACAGTTTAGCTTATTTATTAGTCTTATATTGATTTAGAACATCTCCAGACTATTTAGTATGATATTAAATAAAAGATTATTAGCTAATAAAATATTAATAATCAATAATTAATTATTCGCACGTATGATTGATGTTTTATTATATTTATTACGTTTCAGAATTTATTCATTACAAGTAATAAAATTTTGTTGTATTAAAAATTGTTGCTAATATTTGATTGTTATAAAAATAAACACACCTATTTTTACGTCGTCAGTTAGTCGTCGGCCAATTATAGGTGTAGTAGGAAAAAGTCTCATCGTTTCCTCGATAACTTGGTCCAAATAATGCATCTGTTGTAAATCGTCATATTTAACTGGTGCAGATATTGGCATTTCCGTACCATAAATTGTCATCAATTCTTTATATACTTTTTCCTTTATAAAATTAAATGAAATATCGCTTTATATTGACTTAATATTATATGTTATATTTCATATATTGTAATTTATTATAAGTAAATTTATAAATTGATGTTTTGAGAATAATCGAAGCGTTAATAATGATATTGATCAATGTATACATTTGCATAAATTTATTATAATTTTATCCGAAATAGAATATATTACACTCGCACGCACATTCATTATTGACGTATATTTAAGGCGTTTAGAATAATAAGTTTTGCGGCGGCTATCAAATTTAAATATTTTTTAAAACATTTATATACAAATAAAATTCAATTTATATTTACAACAAATCTGTACATTAACATAATAATTTAATTGAAGCAGTATTAGGAACCATCTTACAAGTGATATAAGTTAGAAGATGATATGTTATTATTATTATTAATATCTTTCGAAATTTAAAATTGTATCATTTATAACGCTTTGTTTAACTTATGTAGTAAATTTAATGATCTTGTAGTAAATACATACTTGTATTTCTGGGAAATTTGCTAACATGAAGATAACAAAATTTATTGTAATAGTAATTTTATCAGTGGTCTGGTAAAAAAATAGAATTAAATGTTCTATTAGAATATTATCTATTTAAGAATATGTTTGTATATTGAATTAGCATACCAATGTAATCATTGTAATTACGTTATCACGTATCATTTCTTGTGTAAAGTTTTTTTTATGAAATGCTTCCATTAGAATGTTGAAAAACGTTTTATCTATATTAAATAAAGAAAAAGATTGTGAAAATAGTTATCTTCTCAGTCTTGTGTTAATAAATATTCTACATATAGTTTCTATGTTAAAAAATTATGATTTATTACTTGGGTCAGTTTTCGTCTCAGTTTTATGCAGTTTATTTAATTCATGTAGTTGTTGCTGTATTATCTGTAGTAAAACTTGTGATATGAAAAATAAGTAAAACATTATAAAGGCTAATATTAACAAATTTATTCAATATATACCTCATTAATAAGAGAATGCATCAACTTTGAAGTCTTTTGTTGTTCCCGTCCCAAAGTAGTAAAATTAAATATAATTTTGTCAAACCAAGACTCATTCCATACAGAATACATCTTATATCTCAAAATTTCTTTCAATCTGAAACAAGTTTCTTTTAAAGTAAAATTCTGTATTTAAGATATGTTATATGTGTGTGTGTAT